TAAGATTAGTACCATATAGCCTAGCTGTGTAGTAGGCTATACCATCTAGGTTAATGTACACTCTATGATGTTCACACAACTATGAAATCACCTAATGGTGCATTTCTCAGAATGTATCCCCATCCTTAAGCAACACATGATTGTACTGAGATCTGTGACATATTAACTTGTGGCAATTCCCATCCTCCCTCCTTCCCAGTTCAGTGTTGTGGCAGCCAAAAGCCAGCAGCATTGCAGACAATGGAGAGATTAGACCTCTTTTTGAGCTCCCTTAAAAGCACGATCCCCAGAGCACAATCAATATTTTGTCTGAATTTGCAGTAACCTGGAAAAATCTCTGTTCTCAGAGTGTGTAAGATATTTGATTTCACTCAGAGCTCAGCTCAGCCTAGCCAAGCCTGGGTGTGGTGGGTTTGGGGAAGAATCGGGGGCTACCCTCCAGGGCATTACTGAAACAATAGGAGAATGTTGGCAACAACTCAGATGCCTAAGGCTATGACTTCAGTTGGGGCAAACAAGAGCCTGGTCTAGAACTGAAAAGGAATTCTAGGACAACTAGATGAACATAGGAAACTTTAAAAACCTCTGACATATTCCTGGGAATATAAATGTCTGCAATGCCAGGAAAGACCTGAGAAAGAAGAAGGTACCAGTCACTCAATTCTGACTGAACTTGAGTTTCTAGACAAACAGGTGGTAAATTCAAAGCTTGTCTTGTAAACTGAAGCTTGAAGGCATGCCTTCTTACATAAGGATCCCCTTGGCAAAAACATCTAGACAAGACATTTAATGAAATCTTCAACCACTGGCTCGCCACTAAATGTACTGGCCAAGGTGTGAACCCTAGCATACTAAGCTTAATATAAAAAAAATTTTTTTTAAACTTAGCAAAGAACTCAATGGTCATACACTGCAGGGAATACAGAATCAGTCTGGGATTGGGAAAATCACTAAACAAATAAGTAGCAACAAGAAAATGCAACAGAAATAATAAACAAACAAACAAAATACAGCAATAACACCAAACCTTGTTGAGGAAGGGGGCAGAAGAATCTCGTACCAGAGCTGTTTCAATATATTATCTGTAACATGCAGTTTTCATCACAAAATTGAGAGACATGCAAAGAAACAGGAAAGTATGCCACATACACAGGAAAAAAGTCAACGAAAACATCCTGAAAGGGACCTAGATTTTAGACTTGGTAGATAAAGCCTTTAAAATCAGCTATTCTAAATGCATTCAAACAACTTAAGGAAACTAAGCCTAAAAAATTGAAGGAAAGTATAACAATGTCTCACACCAGATAGAGAATATTAGTAAAGAGCAAGAAATCATTTTTTTTAAAAAAGAAATTATGAGTTGAAAAGTACAATAATTGGAATAAAAAATTCATGAGAGGGGCTCAACAACAGATTTGAGTGGGCAAAAGAAAGAATCAGCCAACAAGAAGACCAGTTAATGAAAAAATCCACTCTCATAAACAGAAAGAAAAGAGAATGAAATAAAATGAACAGAGTCTCAGAGACCTGTGGAATACCATCAAGAATGACAAAATATGCATAATGGGAGTCCCAAAAGGCAAAGAGAAAGGAGCAGAAAAATACCAATGAGATCCATACCTATACATATCATAATTAAACTGATGAAAGTCAATGTGTCTAGGCATGGATCTTTTTAAGTTTATTCTGGAGAAATTAGAAAAAGAAGAGTAAACTAAACTCAAAGCAAGTAAAAGGAAGGAAATAATAAAGATTAGAGTGGAAAAAGAGAAGAGGAAAGCAATAAAGAGAATCAATGAAACCAAAAGTTGGTTCTTTGAAAAGATCAACAAAATCGACAAACCTTTAACAAGATTGACCAAGAAAAAAAGAAAGAAGACTCAAATTACTAAAGTAAAAAATGAAAGAGGGGACATCACTACAAATCTTACAGAAGTCAAAAGGATTATAAGAGAATACTATGAACAATTGTGCACCAAGAAATTATATAACTTAGATGAAAGGGTCAGATTTCTATAAAATCAGAGACACTGACTCAAAAAAGAGTAAATCTTAACAGACCTATAACAAGCAAAGAGATTGAATTCGTATTTTTATAACATCCACTATATAGAACCAAGACCCAGAGGGCTTTACTGTTTCATTCTACCAAATATTTAAGGAAGAATTAACACCAATCCTTTATAAATCCTTCTAAAAAACAGGTTACAAAAAATGGCAAAACACTTGAATAGGCACTTCACCAAACAGGATATATGGACTACAAATAAGCACAAGAAAAGAATGTTAAACATTACTAACCATTAGGGAAATGAAAATTAAAACATTATACCACCACACACCTATTAGATTGGCTAAAATAAGGAATGCTGATAATACCAAGTGCTGAAGAGCATCTAGAGAAATTAGAAGTCTCATACATTGCTGATGGGAATGGAAAATGATATAGCTGCTTGGGAAAACATTTTCACAGTTTCCTAAAAATTTTAAATATACATATGACTCAGCAGTCTTATACCTGGGTATTTTATCCAGGTGAATTGAATACTTATGTTCACCCAAAAAGCTGTATGTGAATATTTACAGCAGCTTTATTTGTAAAGCCCAACACTGGAAACAACCCAAATGTCCCCAACAGGTGAATAAATAAACAAGTTATAATATATCCACACCATGGAATATTACTCAGCAATAAAAAGGGCACAAGCTATTCTAACACAAAATGAAGAATCTCAAAGACAATGTTCTGAGTCAAAAAAGCCAGTTTCAAAAGGCATGTTTTTACCACGAGATCCCATGCTTCTGGCTCTTGTTGATTTTAAGAGGTAGTGTAGTATAGCGCCTGACAATAAGCTTTTTTGATTGTAGTCTAAGTGACTGACATTAAGCTTCTGAATGCCAAAGCATCCATTTCAAAGACATCCATCTAGAATAAACATATGGAAAGCTACACAACTAGATAAAGTGCTAGGCCACCCTACCCATTAAGTTTCCCTTTTAAAAAGCCTGGTTGACCTAGATAACTGATCATGTGAGTGACCCTACTTTTCCCTTCCCACACCTTAATTCCGACTCTTGGTTTTAAATTAACCAGTCAAGAGTGAACCTGTGAAACCCTAGGTACCCCACCCACGATCCCAATAAAGGCAGAACCCCAGGTCTCTCTCCCTTCCCCCTCAACTTGCAACCTCTCGCTGTGTGTCCATAGGCATGCCATGTACCATCCAGAACCTGTGAATAATAAACCTAGTTTTATCAAAGTTCCCTGATAGTTGTTGCTGAGGCACATCTTGCAATCATAATAAGAACCACAAGAGCGGGTCCAGCCACAACGTTGCCTCCAGTCAGGGGAAAGGTTGAGGGCATTCCTAGCTGATGGCATCACTGTTGATAGGCTGAGACACAAAACAGGTGGACACCTGCCTGGAGAAAAGTCCACCAATAGGCCAGGCAATGGCCTTTGACTCATGATTTGGCATGAAAAAGATGAGCAGGGTCAGTCAAATTTTCTCTCTCTGGAATCTGACAAAGGCTAGTTAAGCAGGGATCTGAAAGTAAAACAATGCTTTGGGATCATAACAAGCCAAAGCCATCTGAAAGTCAAAGTTCTGGGGAAACAGAAGCTACATAAAAAGAGCAAGCCATTTGGGAAGAAAACAGAATAAAATAAAGTACAGTAATTAAAGGCAGAGCATTAGACTGAAAGTCCACATGCTTCTGCTGCTCAATCCACAAAGCTGCCCTCAATCCAAGTCTACCCTTCAGTTCTAACTTTATGAGGATCATCAAAGCACAGTTCCTGTTCTTGATCTGTGTATTAGTTTTCTATTGTTACTGTAACTGATTACCACAGATTGATGGCTTAAAACAACACACATTTATTATCTCATAGTTCTGTAGGTTAGAAATCTGACATGGGTCTCACTGGGCTAAAATCAAGGTGTTAACAGAGCTGCATTCCTTCTGGAGGCTCTAGAATAGATCTGTTCCCTGGCCTTTTCCAGCTTTAAGGGGCTACCTGCATTCCTTGGTTTGTGGCCCAATCCTCCTCCATCTCCAAAGCTAACAATGCTGCATCTCTCTGATACTGCTTCGCTCCTCACATCTTTTCTTTGACCCTCTCTTCTGCCTTCCTCTTCCACTTTAAAGGACCTTTATGATTACATTGGGCCCAACCAAATAATTTCCCTATTTTATTTTATCTTTCTTTGCTTTTTTTAGGTTTAATCATACAAGAGAGGGATTTATTTTTTTTTATCAAGGTCACATTGGTTTACAACATTGTGTAAAATTTCCCTATTTTAAAGTCAGTTTATTAACAACCTTAACTCCATCTACAACCTCAATTCCCCTTTGCCATATAACCAAACATAGTCACAGGTTCTAGGGATTTGCACATGGACATCTTTGGGGGACCATTATTCTGCCTACCACAAATTCTGTTGAGATCTCATATATATCACCCTCAAATGCCCACCTTGACAATGCATATGTAGCCAAGGAAATCTGACGTGATTAACAACTTCTTCATTAGTTAAGTAGAGACTGATCCTCTTTTTTTCAAAATCAAAGACATTTTTCTAATACTCTCATAAATAATAAATAAACAAAGATCAGATAGATCAGATAGAACATGATTATATTTTTAAGATGATCTTGATTAGCAACAAACTCGTCAACACACTCTAAATGTTAGATCAGTGGTTCCCACTGACTGATAGCATTTCAGAAGCTATTTTGGGGATTGAAATTGGGCTTCCAGGTGCTTGTTTTCCAAATGAAAACATACAACACACTCATCTGCTCTCCAAAATCTACCATCTATCCTCACCATTATTTCATAAAAGAACATTCAACACCAAAAAGGTAGAAAAAAATTTAAGAATAATGTGTACTTCTTTAAATCATCTTAGCTTAATAGAAAATAAATTGTATTATCAGTTTTCTAATTTTGCTGATCTTTGACCAGTTTTTTTAAATCGCCTTTAAGATTGATTTACCTGTAGCAACTGCACCATTGTCCACTTGTGTCAAGGACTGGGGGCGACTGCGAAGTTTGCTTTTGAAAGATCTTGGTCTACGTGGTGATGCAGGTGGCAGAGGAATCTCTGATGATTGGACTTTGCTATCTTTAATTGCCCGAAGGCGTTCATAGAGCTCCTGCAGCTCCTTATTCTGCTGGGTTTGAAGATTTACCACCTCTTGAATGTGTCTGAATGAAAATCATGCAGAAAATATTTTAATGGCCCTGGCACCACACAGATGAGCCAAGAAATTCTATACCAGTACAAGTAAAGTTTAACAAGGAATTTAGATTAAGAATGTGGAAATAGAGAATATTTTCACAATTTTAGGATGGGAAATGCCTTCCTACGTATAACATTAAACTAATCAGACATAAAAAGGTAAATAAATTGACAAAAACAAATTTCTAAAACTTCAATATAGTGGAAAACAATAAAACAAAATTTAGAGTCACATGGTATTGATAATATTAACCTTTTATTATATGTTGCAAGTGTAAACAGGAAGAAAATATTTGCAATATAAGTAAAAGGTTAATATTGAGAATATATAAATAGTTCCTAAAACTCAATAAGAAAAAAAGAAACAACCTTATAGGAAAAAGCAAAAAGAATATGAAAAGCCAACTCCACAGAAGAGGAAATACAAGTAGCCAATAAATATGAGATGATGTACAACATCACTATTTTATTTTTTAAAAATACTTTTAATTCATCTGATTGGAATAAAACTAAAACAATCGATAATATCTAGTCTAATGTTAAGAGTGGGAAAACAGGCCCTTTCATTTATTTTTGTTTGGTGTGTAAAATGGTATAGCTACACTGGATGACAATTTTAGCAATACCTATCAATTTAAAATGTACCCATCTTTTAAGCCAGCACTTCTACTTTTACGTATCTATCCCATAAAAATATTCAGCTAAGTATGTAAAAATATAAGGATGTTCACTTCAACATTGTTTACATAAGCAAAACATGGGATAAAACTGAAATGTCCATTAAGGAGAAATTAAACTTTAAATGGCTACCTGGTATTCCAATGTATGGAATAAAGATTATTTGTGCAAACATGAATATATATATAGGTGACAATGTCAAGTCAAAAAATTGTAGAATAACATGTATATTATGATCCCACTTTTGTAAAAAGCAAAAACTGTATATTTGTAAATGAATAGAAAAATGAGTGTAGGGGACTAAGAACAAAGGAGGATGTTTCGGACAAAGGGGTAGTGATTTGGGACTTCAAAGGTGAGGAAGGAAATTCACATGGAGATGGAAAAGCAAATGTTTGTTAGACAACTGTTTACTGGGCCACCCTAGAAAGAATGTGGCCCAGAGACAGGATTTTGGATTTCAATAAGATGGCCTTGTTGGGGCCTTTCTTATCACATCTATTTTACATTATACTATAGTTATCTCATGGTATTAGCTCCTTCTTGCAACAGGCCTTCTGCGTTAAATTCTTTTAGGCAGTTTGGGGGAAGGCTAAATGTTCTTCCTGAGTCTTCTGAGCCTTTATTGTCTTCAGTTCAAAATAACCCTCATACCAGAGTGGTGCATCTTGGGGCAGCCTCCCCTGAACCCATCAACAGGCAAGATACATACCAAACAGTTCACAGTGATTGCCTCTGAGAAATGAGATTAGGGCATAAGAAATAGGAGACTGTTTTGTGTGCCTTTTTACTGTTGTGATATTATGATTTATAATAAAAAATATATATTTGGTCTTTGTCCCTGCTTCTGGCACACAGCTCCTAAAACCCTTGTAATTTCCTAAGTGACAAAAGTAATGGGAAAATCTTTTGTTATGATATTTGGTCTTTTGTCCTCAGATAGGTCCAGTTCCTATATGAAATAGCTCCAGGGTAATAAAGGTGAAAGGAGTGTCCTGTTATTCATAACAAGTCCCTTTGAATCACAACTGAGTGTATGTTAATGAAGTGACTTTTGAAAAGCCCCTAAGAATGGGGTGACTGGTTGCCAGGGGAACCAACCCTGTGATTACAGAGCAGGAACTTTCAGCCCCTCTCTCCCCACCTCTGGGAAGGGTAGAGGGGCTGGAGATTGAATTAATCACCAAAGGCCAATAATTTAATCAATCATGCCTACTGTAATGAAGCTTCCCTAAACATCCCTGAAGTTCAAAGAGCTTCCAGGCTGGTGAATACATGGAAGTGCTGGGAGAGAGGCACTCTCAAGACGGCATGGAAGATCCACGCCCCTTCCCCTATACCTTGCCATCTGGCTGTTCCTGGGTTGTATCCTTTTATAATAAACTGCTAATCTAGTAAGTAAACTGTTTTCCTGAGTTCTGTAAGCCACTCTAGCAAATTAACCAAATCGGAGGAGGGGATCATGAGAACCTCCGATTTATAACAGGTTGGTCATAAGCATAGGTAACACTACCTGAACTTGTAACTGGCATCTGAAGAGGGGGCAGTCTTGTGGGACTGAGCCCTTAACCTGTGGGATCTGATGATCTTTGTTGTTGTCAATCATTAAAATGTCACCAATTCTAAATTAGCTACCAATCAAATACTTAGTTCTATAAAACCCAGGGCAATCAGATTTGTGACAAAAGAGAAACAGTCCTTACTTTTCTCGCAATCTTTGAAGCTCCACTTTCAAGTCCTCATCCTCTATTTCTGACTCATCATCACTGCTCATTGGGGAAGATGGCGAATAGAAGAGTGAGCTCTGTGCTTGAGCATAGGCTTTTTCTTCACCAAGTGGTAAGCACTGATCACTCTCTGGACCAGTCTTTGCCACTGACTTCCCTTTCCCAGAAAGAGCGGCTGAAAATTCACTATCAGAACCAGGCTGTTTCCCAACTGTAAGTATCTCTATCTCTTTAACCAACAGTTCAGATCCAGACTGCATGCTACTTCCTGTGGCTGAATTTTCTTCCAATTCTTTTTCTGGGGTCATGGAAGAAACATCAGTCTCACAAGCTGTGCTGAAAGATGAGAATTTGTCACCTTGTTTGGGAATTCTTTTGTCTTCTTTAAAGGTTTCGTGAAGAAATTGTAACTTCTGAGAAGAAAATGAAGTTTGTGGATTATGTGTGGCAGGTTCCATTTCTACCAAATGAGACTTTGCTGTTTCAGTAAAGGCTTCTTCACTAGAATGGCTTGTCATTTCACTGAACGCTGGTATGTGTTCCACTCCAAAAGATGTCACTTTCACTGACTGCTGCTGAGGAACTGTAATCACCTGAGATATAAAAAGGCAACAGTGGCTGGCTCTGCCTAACCAAAGAGTAAACCCATAAAGAAATTCAATATCAATATATGGCACAGACAAGTGGATGGTCTGCTGTAATGTATACATTGATAATACCAAAACTTAAAAATTCCATCTATACTCCCCATATTCAAAGTCTTTCAACTGGGCCTCTTGGATAAATAGAGTTGGCTTCATATTGCTCAAATAAAACTTCATAATGAAAAAGAATTCCATAATTAAATTTACCAAGATTCTAAAGGATGTTTTATAAAAAAGGTTTATAAAAAAAGATGACCCAACCACCCACCAAAAGATGACCCATTTCTGTGCTCTCTTCCACCTACTAAAATCCCCATTTCTTTAGACTCACCTTTACTGGGTAGTTTCAAAAAGTGAGGGGATATGTATAAATGGAACAAATTAAATATGATGTGATCTACATTTAAAATAAGTATCATCTACAGACCAAGATCTTCAATACTTTTACCTTTTATGTCCTTATAGATCAGAATTCAACCAAAGACACAAACCTGGAACCGACCCCGCTGAAATGATCCACTCATGGCTTTACATCTACTCAAAGCCCTGGTATCAGCTGTGGACTCTCCTGTCAGAGGAATGGGATCAGGAGCAACTGCTGATCTCCTATCTTCTGTTTCCACTGCAAGTTTTGCCAAATTGTAAGCAGAAAAAAGAAAATTGTTTGTTAAGACTAAATTTGTTTACATTACCAAAAATGAAGAAAAGTAGAAAAAGCTTAATTCCTGCTAGACAATTAAAAAGTGTTAATGTAATAAGCAACACTGTAGAAGTCCCTAACTCTAAATCAGACATTGCAAAATTTAACCCAAGACTTAGTATCTATATGAAATGAATAACTGTAAAACCAAATTAGTTACAAAAAGAAAAATAAAATGGCATGACATTAATGGTATATGTCACATACATGGGCTACATGGAAAAAGTGGCAAGATTTGTGTATGAACAATAACAAAAAAAAACCACCAGAATTAAATGAAAAGTGATGTTACCTAGTCTATGTTCCTGACTGTAAGCACACTACCTTGACGGACTTTTGATCTCTTGAAAAAGCTGGTTGACTGCCGTAGCCTGTATGCCCAGCTTTTTAATTTGCGAGTCCAGGATTTCTTGCTAATAGGATTTTTGAGACTAGGACAAGTAAAGCTTAGGCCAAAATATCCACCTCCTGTCTGCAGATGAATGGCTCCACCGCCTGACACAGCAGCAGGATAGGCCTCTGGATCCCCTGGAAGTGAAGCATCTGGGGACATCTCCTAATGGAGATAAAAAGAGAAAAATCAAAGTGGTAATAATTTAGGTAAGGTAGAGCAGTTGTTTGTTTATACCATTGGAGTTCCTGTATGGAGTAATCAGTAATCAAAAATAGAATGCTATGTATACTTGCATTAATAGTACCATATCAGACTGAACCCAAAGTATTCAACTTATAGGAATTAAGCATTCCCCTTTCTTTAAAAATATTATTTAGACTTTAGATAAATAAAATTAATCTTCCACTCTAGAATATTTTCATTATAGCAACTTTGAAAACTGAAAATTAAAACTAAAATTATTTTCTTCATATGCACCAATTTACTAAAAAAGGTTACTGAAACCCCATGCTCTTGAAATGAAATTTTTCATTTATGCTATTATTTAAGAGTGTTAGTTAAAGATGCCCAACACACATAACACAGAAAAACAAGATATCTAGGCATTTAGATTTACAGAGGAATATTACCCAAATCAAGTTTCTTATTTATGTAAGCACACAGAAATTTACAATGGACCTCTAAATCATTTCAAAGTCATGTTCTAAAAATTGTTAACATCAGGCCACAGCTGGCTATAAAATCACTCTCCCCTCTACTTGTCCTCCCATCCCTTCCTGCAAAAAGCCAGAATTAACTGTTGTATTCTAAATGAGTACTTTAAAAACAAATTTCCTGTAATAATTAATATAAAAAATTAATATACACAACCACAAATACTTTTGGAAACATGAGAATGGCCACTGCTAACCTAGAAAACTAAAGAGTATTTAAAAGCTCAAAGAATGTGGGGCTGGCCCCGTGGCCGAGTGGTTAAGTTCGTGCGCTCCGCTGCAGGCGGCCCAGTGTTTTGTTGGTTCGAATCCTGGGCGCGGACATGGCACTGCTCATCAGACCACGCTGAGGCAGCGTCCCACATGCCACAACTAGAAGAACCCACAACGAAGAATACACAACTATGTACCGGGGGGCTTTGGGGAGAAAAAGGAAAAAATAAAATCTTTAAAAAAGAAAAAAGCTCAAAGAATAAGATTTAGCATTTGTTTAAAGGAAGACAGCCTAAGCAGCACTAAGTATACTGCAGTCTTGGGTAAGCATTATTAACACTTAGGGCAGGTCAGCAGTTATTGAAAGTAAAATTCTGAACAATCAGTTTTTATTTTTCAAAGTCCCATTTTGGACTAGTAATAATGTCACTGACTAATTGCCCCGAGGAACTCAAGGGAGCTTTCAGAAGCATTTAACTGTTTCTCTAAATTGGTTTTTTTCTTTGTTATGTTAAGAGATGCAATCACCAAGCACCCTGAACCAGACCAAACCTCACCACGAGAGCGATGGCTGTGTAAATGGTCAGAAAAGTGCCCAAGAGATGACCTTTGCCTCATTTTTAATGCTAAGATCTCCGCCCTGGGAGGAGTTTAGGACTTATTACCATAACATGTGATGTATACGGAAGCATGTTTTCCACCTGAGCCTGTGCAAGTGAATACCCCCCTCTCCCTTTTGAATATTCATTCCCCATCCAAAATAAAAGGCCCCTGCTGTCCTGTACTAGGGGAGAGCCACAACTTTGGAAGTGATTCTGCATGGTCTCCTATTTGCTGCCAATAAACTTTACTTTGTGTGACAACTACTTCTGGTGGAGAGTCTGATATTAACTCACTAGAAAGCAAACCCACTCATGAAGAGAAAAAAGATCTTTTAATAATATTACAATTTAGAAAGTGTTACATTGGTCCCACTGAAATTACAGAAAAGATTTTTAATAAGTAATAACTGGATCAAGATGGTAAATTAAATACAAGTTCTAGCCTCCCTTACCAATCCAAATCCACAAACAAAACAGGAAAAACAGATGTAGACACATGCATATATGACTACATGAGGAAAAAGCAGCCCATGACATATGCAGTAACTGTTTCAAAATGCTGCAAACGGGTGACAGATATGGGCAGCAGGAGAGAGCCCTGGCCAACTCAAAGGATGGGTGGTTGGCTAGAATGCTTGCAAAGCTATACACATCTGTCTCCTATCTGTCTCTTCAACATCATCTCATGACTCTCCTACTTACTGGCTTTCTTTTGGTTCCTTGACCAGGTCTCCACCTGTCAAATGTTACCACCATATACAAGTCCTTCTTTGACTACCCTATATAGAGTAACCCCCCAGTCTTTCTATCATAACCCTTTACTTTAATTACCTTATTTGTTTAGGGTCTATCTTCCCCCACTAGAATGTGAGCTCCACAAAAAAAGAGATCTTGACTTATTCACTGCTCAGTATTCACTGAATGAAAAAATGAACTGGTTGGGGTACCAAAGAAGGAACAGCCAGGCAGTTCTGCCCCTTCCCTCCCCACCTCCACAGCAAGCAAAAGACAGCAGAGCCATCTGCTCCCAAATAAGAGTGGTGAGAGGAAAATGTTTGTGGCCAAGAGAAAGGTCAGCAATATAGGGAGAACACCACATCCAAGAGGAAGGGGAAGCCCTTCTACCTTTGAAAACTAGCTACTAGGCCGCCCTCTGGGCGGCATTAAACACAAGTTTCAACATCCAGTGCCAGGAAGTATGTCCCACGCCTTTCCCACAATTACTGGAGGAAGGCTACAGTAATTATATATAGCATTTACAGACAGAATCTTATGGAGGAAAAAGAAAAATCAGTACAAACTAAGAATCACCAAACACTTACGGTAAATCAACACTATAAGAAAACACTAAACTCAACAAACAGAAGAATAATCAAGGAAACAGCATTAATAGCACAGAATAAGACTTTAATATCTTCAGAGATATATGTGAATATACTACATCCATGAGAAGAATGAACTACAGTTACTAGAATTAAAAATGTAATCCCTGACATAAAAAAATAGTGAATGGGAGATTGGAAACAGGTTAAAAATTGAGAAATTCTCCCAGTACAAAAGGGAAAAGGACAAAGAGATGGAAAGCATGAAATGAAAAATTAATAGATAAGAAAAACAGGAAATGAAGAAACGAAATTGTCTATTCACAGATGATATAATCTTATATATTATATAGAAAATCCTAAATAATACACCAAAAGCTATTAGAGCTAATAAACAAACTCAGCAAAGTTGAAGGATACAATATCAACACTCAAAAATCTGTTGTATTTCTATATACCAGCAATGAAAAACTTGAAAAGAAAATGAAGAAAACAATTCCATTTATAACAACAACAAAGAGAATAACAAATGATGCTGGAACAATGGATAGCCACAAGCAAAAGAATGAAGCTGGACCCTTATCTCACACCATATATAAAAATTAACTCAAACTGATCCTATCATCTGTACTTAATCAAGTGTGACGCAAAATAAAGACACTTTTAGACATAAAAAAAAAAAACAAATTAGTCGCCCATGCAACATATTTAAAAATATTACTTATGGGGCCAGCCCAGTGGTGCAGCAGTTAAGTGCACACGTTTGGCTTTGGCGGCCTGGGGTTCGCCGGTTCGGATCCCGGGTGCAGACATGGCACGGCTTAGCAAGCCATGCTGTGGTAGGCATCCCACAAATAAAGTAGAGGAAGATGGGCACAGATGTTAGCTCAGGGCCAGTCTTCCTCAGCAAAAAGAGGAGGATTGGCAGCAGATGTTAGCTCAGGGCTAATCTTCCTCAAAAAAATAAAAATAAAAATAAATAAAAATATTACTCATAGAAGCATTTTGGGGTGAGGGGAAGGAATTCTAGGACACCAGAAACAGTGGCAGATAAGTTTGACCCAGCTATAGCAATGAACACTTGAAACAAACAAAAGAATCCATTTGACTGTGACACTTGGAAGAGTCTACTTTGAGCAACAAAGTTTAAATGACGGGAACTACATTTCATTTTTTAATGGTTCTAGTCACATTACATGATCATCGAATAACATATAATCATAACATAAATGCTATTTATTGATTTCAATTCTTCAAATCAACCTACAAACCATGTGCAACTAAATACAGATGTTATAAACTCTGCCAATGTTAAAAAGTAATTTAAGTAATAAAAACTGGGAGGTGTACAGGGAAGAAAAGTGGAGGAAATGGAAAATATAATAATTTCCTCACCCTTCACAGCAATGAGTCAATAGGTATTGTCTATAATAATTAAATCATCGATGATGACAGATGGAAACTAGACTTTTGGTGATGAACACAATGTAGTCTATACAGAAGTAGAAATACAATGATGTACACCTGAAATTTATATAATGTTATAAACCAATGTTACCTCAATAAAAAATATATAAACAATTAAATTTTTTTTAAATTACTAAGTCAAAAAATAGATAAGTATATTATTTACAAGTTATTTATAGCAATGACCACAAGAATTAAAACCAGGAACTTAACAGTGTTTGGGGAGTGGGATGGGGTGTGGGAGGGTGTTAACACAACAATTACTTTTAATTTTCTATCCTTCTGAATTGCTTTCATGTTTATGCATTAATTGCATAATTTAAAATTACTAGTTTACAAAAAATAAATGATTAAATTGTATCTATTCGATGGAATGTTATACCATTGTTTAAAAAAGTTAAGTGAGGTGGAACTATGTGTAGTGACATGGATAGATGGAAAATAAATGCATAACAGCACATGTATATATAGAAGAAGTATATGTACATAAATGTATAATATGTATCTATGTCATTATAAATATATAGTACATATAAAGAAGTATTTCTTTTTTTTTTTAAAGATTTTATTTTTTCCTTTTTCTCCCCAAAGCCCCCCGGTACATAGTTGTATATTCTTAGTTGTGGGTCCTTCTAGTTGTGGCATGTGGGATGCCGCCTCAGTGTGGTTTGATGAGCAGTGCCATGTCCGTGCCCAGGATTCGAACTGAAGAAACAATGGGCCGCCTGCAGCGGAGCGCGCGAACTTAACCACTCGGCCACGGGGCCAGCCCCAAAGAAGTATTTCTATATAAATATTTGTATGTTAATTAGAACCATGTCTGGAAAGATTTATTAACAGGTATGTCTATAGGTTTGGAACTGAGGTGGATTTTACTTTACATACACACATATACTAGTTATATAATAATAATAATAAGGAGATACAGTGCTAAAGATTCAGAAAGATGTCTATGATATGATATAAAAAATCAACTTGCGAAACAATATGTATAAATAGCACAATCCTATTTTTGTGAATAAAAAGTATAAGTTGTAAATAGATCTGTGTAAGCTTAAGTCAAGAAAAATAAATAAGTACCAAATAGTGGATAAGCACCAGATAGTGGTTACTTGTGTGATTTGAAGTGATAGAAAAGAGAAATTAAATTCCTACATGACTTAATTTAAAAACAAGTCATGAGACTATGGATAATTTTACTTTTTTTTTTTCCTGAGGAAGATTAGCCCTGAGCTAACAACTGTGCCAATCTTCCTCCACTCTATATGTGTGTTGCTGCCACAGCATGGCTGACTAGTGGTGTAGGTCTGTGCCCAGGATCTGAACCCGTGAACCTGGGCCACCAAAGCAGAGCATGCTGAACTTAACCACTATGCTGTGGGGCCAGCCCCTTTACTTTCCTTTTTCAAAAATATTGCAAATAAATTAATACCCACAAAAACAAGATTAAATTAAAACCACAAATTTTTTTATAAAGGAAACTGATACCAGGCATTTTTAAGTGGAAATCTAAAACTAAGTTCTTCCTACCGACTAAAACAATCTATAAATCAGTCCTGTTCTGTCGTTAATACAAAAATAGACATTGCTCGCAAGTTCCCAGCTAATTCACCAGAGGGTTCTCTTACCAAAGACAGTTCTGCTGTGTCTATTGAGTAGTTCTGGGCACCTGCAGCCCAAGTCAAGGCCTTCTTAAATACCTGTGACTTCAGAATCTTGTGACATAGACAATTGCATTTCAAAGGACAGAACTTTAGGGAAAAAAAGGCATTTCTTTAAAAGCATAACAATAAGGTATTGGTTAGAAAGAATGATACTTACATGTAAACATAATTCGCTGGGTACAGAAGTTATCACATTCAGGTCCCTTTTGAACACTGATATGTTAGTAGGCTGACTTGCAGCCACATTGGACAGAATCTTAGAGCCTGTCTGCTGAAAATTAGGGGACTGTGCAGGACTATCTTGAATTCCACAGTGACTGATGGCTACGACTTCTGGCACTGGACATGAGAGTGTATCTTCAGCAGAGGAAGAAAATGGAGAGTCTATGCTTTGAGTATCCTTCTGACTCTCAGGATAGATGCTAGATATACTATGCTCCTGATAGAGCAAGTTTCTTAATTTTTCATCCAGAGTTTTAATTCGGTTGTCTGCAAACTCCATTTTTGGAGGTCTTTCCCCATCTGATTCCAGGACAGTAGTGGGTAGAAGGGTAGTCGGTTCAAGGCTGGGAGTCTGAGTGGGAATGACCATCTTAGAAGAACTTGCTTCAGTGTTCACTGTGGTTTCTCCTTCTTGGGAAATAAACTCTGTATCCATAGTCGGCTGCTGCACTAAGGATTGAGGCTTTTGATCAGACATACATGCCGGAGTTGTAAGAGAGTTACCAGCAATCTGAGTTGACTCACCAGGATGGGCCATAAGTACATCAGCCTGATTGGCAGCTTGGTGACATGGATACACAGGTAGGAACATGCTTGCTTGGTTGGTGAGTCCCTCACATTCAACTGGGACTGCATGAACTGAAGTAGCAGTATAACTGGAACTAGTAGCAACTGGTGCCATTATCTGCCTGTCATCTTCCACTTGATAAAATATAGCTGGCTGCTTAGTTTCCACACTGGCATATTCAGAAATCTTACCATCAACTACATCCTTGTGTTCTGATTTGGAGGTGAAAAGTACACGCTGGCATGGATTATTTTCTAGAGTGAGCAGTGTGTCCTGTGATATTTCCTTATTACTGGTGTTTCTTGGACCTGGAACAATAACAAAGAATGGCTAAGCATGTACAAAGCATGGACTAGTACCCAAACTCAAAAGGGACAGGAGGAATAAGGGGCAAACGAGAACCTGTATGAAAGTACTCATAAATAAGATTCAAAATACACAGAATTCAATCTGTCAGGGGAAAAAACCTTTTAAAAAAATAAATGTTAAGTAAAAAATGGCTTAAGTTATACCCTAATATTAACATCTTCACAAATGCTTATGAAAATTCTCAAAAGCATAGAATAGCCATGAAAATAAGTTAAAAATATGGTCTATATACTTGCATCCCCATCCTCCAAATCTGGATAAAGGTGGCAGACAATGAATGCTTACTAAAATGTGGCTGTAGTCCAGGAACTGCAGACATGGACGGCTGAAAAGAAGGAGGAGACTGAGCCTCACGGTTTCTTATCGTTTGATTGATACAGAATCGCCACCGACCAACTGGGGATGACTGAGGAGCAGATTCATCTGTAGAAAGAATTAGTAAAAATTAATATGCTAAGAAATTGTCAATATATTTACCTTATTGACTAAGGAAACCAGGTTAAAACACCAATTTGTCTTGTATCTCCATTTCTAACAGCACTAGGACTTGTGTAATTTATAAGACCAGACCTCCCAATCCTGACCAATACTCTAAAGAATTAAGCACAAGATACCTTTAGAGAAGGATTTTAGATTCTACTGAAACAAACATTGTATCAGTAACAATTAGAAGCAGGGTACTTTTTGGGAAAAAATGGAAAACACTTTTTCCATTAAAACCTACATCTGTTCTGTATCATGATATGGTCGTATTTACATAAATCTATATGAGTATTAAAATTTACAGAACTATACACCAAAGGAAAAAAAGTTCAATTTTACTGTATGACAACTTAAAAAATAAAGTTAAATAAGCCCCTAAAGCTTTACTCCTCCTTTGTAAAGTTATTCAAATAAGTAGTTCTCTCTTAAACTTTACCCTACTTAGTCAGAAATCTGCTCAGACTCTTGATAATGAGAAAAAGAAGACAGAGGAGGACCCTGGCATCCGAACACAAACTAAATTTCAGGGTAAGTGGTATCTGGTTCCATGACTCCCACACCACCTGTTGCTTCTTCATGTTGTTATAATTCCTTCCGAGGTCCTCATTTGCCTATGGCTCTTCTCCCCCTCCCAGATACTCTAAATATACCCATGACCAGAGCTGAGAAGAATGGAGAGATAAAGTCATCAGAAAAGAAAATAGAAGACCCCATTTTTATCTGGAAGTTTATCTGGTATCTGATTTACAAAAACTTATCAGTGATCAGAGCAGACAGAAGCATATCGCTAGTAGAATGAAAGCAAGATATGAATGACTATTAAAACATGAGGCAAACTTAGAACATAATGATTTTAGTTAAAGTTTCTGTCCATCTGATATCAGAGGGAAAAAAACTTACCAGTTAAGTTCAAACAGTAAAGCTGTTAAACGTCATCAGTACTGTGACTGCTTTTCTGGTAACATACCATGTGACGACTCAGAAATAATAAATCAGATAAAGAACCAACACTTGGAGGAAACTTGGAGAATGTTTTTACTTTTTCTTTTACTTCTTACTTCTGGGCTACAAAGTCCTCCCAAAGTATGGAAAACCCTACATTAACAATTTATCAAATTCCTTTATTGGCTAACATCCTTCCCAATGAAGATGTGTAAATTAAAAGTTTCCAAATGTCTTGCTTCAAAAGCCAAATGGTAAATTTTATTAAATATACTTACTGCTGGTGTGGGTGGGTGCAGAATTTATCTGTACTTGTTCAGATGATCCTGTCTGAATTAAAAATGAATAGATAAATAAAGAAGTTCCTGATCCATATCCGAAAAGACCTATGTACTACACAACTGCTCTTACTTGGCTACTGTTGGGTTCCACGGTAACAGAGTCAACTCCAATGGCTCTTTCTGCAGCAGAGTGGACATGAAGGATCTCCTGGGCTTGACCTACAATAGCTCTCAATTCTTCTACAAATTTTTCTTTCTCACTTTCCAGCACAAAGTTATCTTCGACCTATCCAAAAGTAAAAGTAAGTCTATTCACAAGAATGAATTTAGTTTCTTCAAAATTATAAAATTGTATCAATGGTGACTACTCTAAAGAAAAATAAATTAAAATTAAGTATTTAGATCTAAATGTCACGACAGAATTAACAAAGACCAGTAATAAAATGCCACATAATATATTAAATTATTCTTCCTATTTTTTTTTTTTTATCATTCTTTCTATATTGAGACCACTGACGTTTGTCAGATTGGCACTACCTACCAGAGAAGAAGCCAGCATTTAAGAAAATATCTGGCATTCTATAAAGTGAATGTCATTTGAAGAACATAACTGAGGCAATGTCTATGTTTAAAACTAGGATGTTCAAACCCCAAAGCTTTTAAATCAAAAATCACAAAATGAAACATCTCTAAAAGATGATAAAAAATGGCCCAGAGACAGTTCAGAAAATGCTGCCAAATGAGGCACAACTGACAAAATTATTAACTTGTAAAACGTTTACTTCTACTTGGCCAGGAATGCACATGCAAATAAAACTGGCAGAAACAAAAGCATATACTTTCCCTGACACCCTAACCCATCCCTCACAAAGAGGGGAAAAATACTAACGTAAGCCTAACAATTCAAAGAAAGTATGAAAACTAAATGAAATGATGAACATTACTTGAACAACCATATGTAAGATGTTATATCATTAGCTAACATATTACAATTACCTGGGGAACTTGACAAACCATTCATGCTTATACCTCACGTCCAAAGATTCTCATTTAATTACGGACCCAGGCAATGGAAGTTTTTTTAAAAGGTTCCACAGGTGATTTTAACATGCAGCCAGGGACAAGAACCACTGACTTAGATCATCTCTTAATTAAACCCCCTAATATTTTGCAGATAAATATACTGAAACCAGAGGAAGTACAGTGACTTACTCTTGATCATAATCAATTTAGCTCTGTACAAATTTTAAAAACTAACAGCACCCTAAAAGAAGATGGCTCTGAATAAATGGGGGGAGAGTAGGAGGGGAAAAAGAGACAGAGAATGCTGAAAGGAAAATAACTTGGTTTTATTGTACTTACCATATAGTCTGCAATATCCTCTGGAGCATCACCATCAACATCAAACTTGAAGGTGACCATCTTATTATTGTGTGTCTCCAGTTGACACTCTACCATGTTATCTCCAGAGGTTGACACCTGGGCACAAACATTTCACTGGTTTAAGAATCAGTCATTGCCTTCTTTGCAAATGGTACAAGGAACATGTTGATGAACTCACATACAATATACGGGAAAAACGGTTTAAAATGCTGAGAATCTAAAAAGATTCTGTTTTACCTGTGATGAAATACTGTCCAAACAGCCATTCTATGACAAATCTAAGGTTCAAATTACTCAGTAAAAAATAAGTTAGAAATGTGATCTTGTGGGAAACAAAAGGGAACACAACTTTTATAAAAAGGCAAAAAATAGTCACTATAGCTGTCTGCAATGCAAAGATCTAAGTTCAGTGATTCACTTCCAAAATTCTCTTAATCCCACAGACTCTTTAAGCAAAAGAAAATGCACTGCTAATGGAAATGTAAACTGGTCCAACCTTTCTGGACAGTGATCTAGCAACATGTATTTAGAAACTTTAAAAATCATCATACTCTTTGACCCACTATTTCTACTTCTAGGAATCTAGCATAAGGAAATGATCAGGGATATATACAATGATTTGTGTTCAAGGGTGTTTGCTGGAGTGAGAGAGACAGACACACAGACTCACAGAGAAAGACAGAAAGTTAGAAAAAAAGACAGACTGGCAGAAAGAGACACACAGACAGACAGAAAGATACAACCTAAATGAAGACCAATAGAAAGAATGATTAAATTATTATATCTCTATGCAAGGGACTATCTAAGGCAGCCACTTAAAATATCATATTATTGAAAAATGACTTAATGACAAAGGAAAATACACATGATATATATTAAATTTTTAAAAAGGCAGAATAGGGGCCAGCCCAGTGGCAGAATGGTTAAGTTCAGGCACTGCACTTCGGTGGCCCAGGATTCGTGGTTTGGATCCCAGGCATGGACCTACACACTGCTCATCAAGCCATGCTATGGTGGCATCCCACATACAAAATAGAGGAAGATTGGCACAGATGTTAGCTCACTGACAATCTTTCTTAAGCAAAAAGAGGAAGATTGGCAACAGATAAGAGTTTGTGGCAAATCTTCCTCACCAAAAAAAAAAAAGGCAGGATAATAAAATTATATCTAGGTAGGTCTAAACACCCATCCAAAATGTATACCATATTGGCAAGAGATATGGGCTTTAAAGTCTGATCTGGGTTCAGATCTGACTATTACTTGCTAGTTCAATGACCTTAGGCAAGTTACTTTAGCTCTCTATCTTCAGTATCCTTGTTTGTAAAGACAAGTATACTACCACCTAATCATACAGGGTTATTGAAGGATTAAATGATAAAATGAATGCATAACAGTCCAGGTGTCTTCCACATAAGAATTCAATAAATTTTCGCTACTATTACAACTTTAATAATGCAAAATACTACTCATACATACAGAAAAAAGAGATGAAAACAAACTGAAACATTAATAAGAAGCATTTCTGAGAGGTCGTTACAAGTGATTGTTATTTTCTTCCTTATATTTCACCTATATTTCCTAAGATTAACAATTAATACATAATACTTGTCAGAAAAATATTTAACAGAGTAAAAGTTAATTTAGAGTTTCACAATACTCTGTATTCATGTCCGCAGCAACATTGCCTCTCCCTAACCCCCCCCCCCAAGACATCTACACACACTCTTAACCAAACCATATTTACACACTGACCTGAAGGACAGTGAGCTGGAATTTAGTCCCTTTCTCTGGTCGAGGACAGGAAGCTCTTCTCTGTTTGATCCGATCTTGTTTGCCATTTCCACTTGGGTTATCAGGGGTATTGGTGTTTTCCTTCACAGCTGCCACATCATGATTCAAACTAGTAATTGAGAAAACAAAAGCAACTCCTGATCAATTTCTCAGAGCAGACATTATTCTGTGATTCTCAAAGCCCAATATTTAATCCAAATCAGGGTTAACATCTGAAGTTCCTTCATGGCTAGAATCATTCCATCTTGATGGTAAAAGTCTAAGAAAAACTCCCAATTACAGAATCATAAATAATGAGTGTAAGGAAAATGAATAAGTACTACAATATCTTTTAAAAAGTTATGACTGCACAACTCTGCAAATATACTAAAAGCCATTAAACTGTACACTTTCAATGGGAGAATTTAATGGTATGTAAATTAGATCTCAATAAAGCTGTTTTTTAAAAGTTATAAAAACTGAGGTCATATTGTATTTATTTGGCAAACATCTTCTCATAGTAGTGGGAGTGAAAGAAAAACACTGCCAGTGACAGACCTCTGATACCTTTTAAGAGATGATGCTCTTGAGCAATTTTATCATCTTTGTTTTGGGGCTTCTAATTAATGTGTTCAAATAAAAACCAATTTTCACTCAAAATATACCTGTTTATGTAATGAACTCAACAGAAGTAGAAAGACCAGCTATGAGAGACAGGAATAATGCAGGAGGCAGAAGAAGAAATGAAAATGAGATAAAGAAAATGTGGTGTGTGTATGTATGTGTGTGTATATATATATATATATATATATACACACACACACACACATACATACATACACACACAATGGAATATTATTCAGCCATAAAAAAGAATGGAAGCTTGCCATTTGTGAAAACATGGATGGACCTTGAGAGCATTATGGTAAGTAAAATAAGTCAGAAAGAGAAAGGCAAATATCAGATGATCTCACTTATATGAGGAATCTTAAAAAAAAACAAAACAAAACCCAAGCTCATAGATACAAAGAACAGACTGGTAGTTGCCAGAGGTAGGGGTGGGCAGTTGGGTAGAGGGTGGCTGAAATGGATGAAGGGACTCAAAAGGTACAAGCTTTTAGTTAAAATATAAATAAGTCATGGGGATGTAATGTGCAGCATGGTGACTATAGTTAAAAATACTGTATTGCATATTTCAAAGTTGCTACGAGAGTAGATCTTAAAAGTCCTCATCACACACAAACACAAATTTTCTAACGATATGTGATGATGGATGTTAACTAGGCTTATTGTGGTAAGCATTCTGCAATATATAAAAATAGCAAATCATTATGTTGTACACCTGAAATGAATATAAGGTTGTATGTGAAAATGGCTCAACATGATTAATTCTGATTAGATATATTTTGCAAGTTCAAATCAATATGATTATGAAAGGGAAGATTTCAGTTTATCTGTGTCAAAGGCATTTTTCAGCTTTTTAAAAATAAATTTAAAGATATTTCAATACATAGAAAAATTGCAATAAATACATTTGAAACTTAAATGTGAAGATCTGTAGGCACAAAACAGATATCTTTTAAATTAATTTTTAAGTAAACTACTTTCTACTAAAAGCTACCCTTGAACTATTTGTATAAAGATATACAAGAAGAGGATACCAGGTCAAGATGGCAGCATAGGCAGACTCTGAACTCATCTCTTCCTACAAATACAACCAGGTTAAAACTATTCCTGGAAAAATTACCCTGGAGAGAAAACTGAAAACTGGATAAAAAGAACCCCCGCAACAAGGGAGAGGCCTGACTGAGGCAGAAGAGGCAGAAATTCCTTTAGAAGAGGAAAAAAGCAACCTTCACCAGCTGCGGAGCTTCATTGCCAGCTGGGTGGGAGCAACCATAAGGTACAAAGACTTCCCTGGAGAGGTGGGGACCTTAGCAGGGGCACATCCTTCAGACTTAGCACAACTGAGATGAGTGTCCTACCATCTGGCTTCACTGGCTATTAACTGCAATGGAGGAATACCCTCAGAAAGCCTATCAGATGAAAGTCGAAAAAACCCGGCTCTTTAAAGGGCCAACACACAAATTCACCTGTCTTGAGAAAGCAACCTAAAATCACCAAAAAGAAAGATACACAATGTTTTGGTGAAAAAAGACTCACCAGGTAGGCACCTCTGGGTGCATCTCAGTGAGAGGTGAGACCTCTCCAGAGACTGAGACATCAGTAGCAGACATTGTTGTGACCTAGTACAGGCGTGCTGACACACACCCTAGCAGATGCCATTGAAGTTCCACCCCCCAGGATGGTTAGCCCAGGGGTCTGCCACACCCACTAGCACACAGATTTAATCCAGTTCAGGCAGGGTAGGCAGCCTGCCTTAGGGAACAGCCCTACCCAACAATAAGCCCTCAGGCTACTTGTTGGCCTGCATACACCGGGTGCCTTGATCCTCTACAGGGAGGCAAGTGTGTCCAGCTCTGTGGAGCAGGGCATGTGTAAGGCCCAGGTAACCTGTGGGGGGCGTTGGTGGAGAGGTGGGGGCTTCTGCAGTGGGGCAACTGAGTACATTCCAGGGGTCAAAGAGTGCACATGTACCAGGACTGTGTTGACAGTGTGTGTGGACCTGTAGGGGGTCAGACTTATCAGTAGCAGAAGACCTGTGCTTCACAAACAGCCACACACAGGATTGGCCCCACCTTGCAAAGCCTGAAACAACTAGGTGCTCCAGTGCGTGGAGCCAGGTCCACTCAGCTGCAATCCTAAGAGAGCTGACAACAGCCTTGCAGGCCTGAGGCCTACAGCAACTCTAAGCCCTGAGCCTAGGAATCAGCTACACTGGGTACCAACCCAATTAAGAGGAAAACTGCAATAGGAGTGTGCTGATAGACTTTGTAGCCAACAGTGCTGAGGCTCCCCAAACCGGATTTACAAACAGCTGGCCAGGGAGGGAAAGACTAGACTCCCTGGGTACCTGCAATAAGAGCAACCCTGCCACAGCAGAAGGACACAAGTAGCCCACACAAGGGTCACGCTGGATCATTTGGACTGGTGACAAGAGGGAAGCACACTGCTGAGCCACAAAAGGTATCTCCTACATAAGGCCACTTCTTCAAGATCATGAGACATAGCCGACTCACCTAATACATAGATATAAGCACAGAGAAAGAGGTATAATGAGGAGGCAAAGGAATACATTCCCAGCGAGGGAACAAGACAAAACACCAGGAAAAACACTAAATGAAAGAGAAAAAAGCAATCTACCTGACAAAGAGTTCAAACAGAAACTCATAAAGATGCTCACTGATATTGGGAGAAGACTGCATGAACACAATGAGGATGTCAACTGAGGATTAGAAATAAAAAAAATCAGAAATGAAGAATACAATGATGGAAATGAAAAATTCACGAGAGGGACTCAATAGCAGAGTACATGATACAGAAGAACAGATTAGCGAGCTATAAGAAAGACTAGAGGAAATCACCCAAGCTGAACAGATAAAAGAAAAAAGAATTACACAGAATGAGAAAAGTCTAAGAGAATTCAGGGACAATATCAAGCACACTAACATTCATATTATAGGTGTGCCACAAGGAGAAGAGAGAGACAAAGGAGCAGAGACTCTATTTGAAGAAATAATAGCTGAAAACTTTCCTAACCTAAGGAAGGAAACAGACATCCAAGTACAGGAATCACAGAGAGCACCAAACAAGATGAACACCAAGAGGCCCACACCAAGACACATTATAATTAAAATGTCCAAATTAAAGATAAAGAGAGAATCCAAAGAGCAGCAAGAGAAAGGCAACAAGTGACACAGAAAGGAAAGTCCACAAGGCTATCGGCAGACTTCTCAGCTGAAACCAGACAGGCTAAAAGAGAGTGGCATGATATATTTAAAGTGCTGAAAGAAAAAAACCTACAGCCAAGAATACTCTATCCAGCAAGGGTATCATTCAGAATACAAGGAGAGATAAAGAGCTTCCCAGACAAGCGAAAACTAAAGGGGTTTATCACCAAGAAACCAATTCTACAAGAAATGCTGAAGGGACTTATTTAAGTGGGAAAGAGAAAACCACAAATAGGGATAAGAAAATTATTTTTAAAAAAAAACAAACAAACAGGCAATAAAATCTCTGGTAAAGGCAAAAATATAGTAAAGGTAGCAGATCAACCACCTATGAACATAATATGTAGGTTAAAAGAAAAAAGTACTAAAATTAGCTATTTCAATGATAAGAGGGTAATGGATAGACACACACAAAACAAGAGATTAGACATGATTTTAAAAACATAAAATGTGGGAGGAGGGGAGTAAAAGAGTAGAGCTGTTAAAAAGACGTCAAGCTAAAGAGACTATCAACTCAATATAGATTGCTATATTTGTAGAATACTATATAGGAACCTCATGGTAACCACAAACCTGAAACCTATAGTAAGTAAACAAATAAGTAAGAGGAAAGAAATCAAACATATTACTAAAGAAAGCATCAAACCACAATGGAAGAGAGCAAGAGAACACGACAGGAACAGAGAAGAACTACTAAAACATCTAGAAAAGAAAAGTAACAAAATCGCAATAAATACAGATTTATCAATAGCTACTTTAACTGTCAATGGACTAAATGATCCAATCAAAAGATACAGTGTGGCTGATTGGATAAAAAAACAAGGCCCATATATATGCTGCATACAAGAGACACACTTCAGACCTAAAGACACTCACAAACTAAAAGTGAAAGGATGGAAAAAGATATTCCATGCAAATGGCAAAGAAAAGAAAGCAGGGGTAGCAATACTTATATCAGACAAAATAGAGTTTAAAACAAAAACTGTAACAGGAGACAAAGAAGGGAACTACATAATGATAAAGGGAACAATCCAACAAGAAAATACAACACTTGTAAATACCTATGCACCCAACATAAGAGCACCTAAATATATAAGAAAATTATTAATAGACATAGAAGGAGTAATAGACAGTAACACAATAATAGTAGGGGACTTTAACACTCGACTTACACCAATGGATAGATCATCCAAACAGAAGATCAATAAGGAAACACTGGCCTTAAAGGACACATTAGACCAGATGGACTTAGTAGCTATATACAGAACATTCCATCCAA